TCAGGACTACAGTATTTTGGGGTCTACATTGGGGTCCCCTTATTTTGGGAAAGTACCAAATATCCCATCAGTAATGATGACGTGTGAATTCCAATAGTATTAACAATTCGAAGACAGATTTCATGTTGGACTTGGCAGAGTCAGGGCTTTGCATGTGGCATTGGCCTCAGGACTTAGGATGTGGGGAGGAGCCGAAAACCTTAACTCGGGCTCGGGGACTGGGAGTGAGAAAAGGAGTAGGAGGAGTGGAAGTAGGATGGAGCAGTTTGGGGCCAAAGGAATGGATGGGATCCAATCGGGCGTTCCCGGGGATAGATTAAGTACACCTCATGATCAAAGCCCGCTTCCCTGTGCGTGAATGTGATTGCAGAAGGCCCCGTTATTCCCGCAATTATCGGCGGTACGTCAAACGAGAAGTTGCATGTTTACATTTTGTTGACTGTTGCAACACAGTGGGACAACTTTAAGGGCACACAGGCAATTTCTGAGGTAGTAGCATCGACGAGGGCTCTCAGCGCCTTAGCAGTGATGACGCTTTCTGAGGCTCATAAGACAAGTAGCCGCATCCAGCTGTGCAGCTCTTAAGGACGCTGCTGTGAGCACCTCGTCCGAGTTCAGGATGAGCATCGCACGCATGCTTGTCTTTAGTTGAACCTGACCACCGGTATACCGAAGCTGCCTTAAGGTCTGACTCTGCGTTAGTAGTGAAAACACAATTTTCACTTGTGCGGCTGGCCTGCAGATCGTGGAAGGCTTCACTCCGCATCTGCTGCTGGAACCACACGGCGCCTCAGGATGCAAAGCGTCTCTTTTCGGATTCGCGCACTCAGATAAGGCGCGCAGCATCTAACTAGACGCTGTGGGTTGCCAGATGTTGCCAGTGCAAGCCCTTGGAGAAACTCTTGAGATTCCGGCAGTGCGCCTTTTTGTCGGACGGGTCTAGCTTCCCGTCCTGAGCAACGCATGGAAAAACCAAGCAAGCTGCCCAAAATCATGCGGTGGATCTGTCCTTAGCCTCAACTTTCTGCAGGATCTAGGTCCCATCAACTTGCTGAGTTGTGAACCGTCTCGTCTTGCGTCAGAGGTCGGGCACCCAGGCCCTTCACGCTTGCTACATGAACGACTCTGCACTGCAATCAAAGAGGATCCACCTTGGAGAATGGGCAGCTCAGTCGACGCCGCTCTCCCGGATCTGCAAGCAGGGTCGGGATCTGCAAACCCAGTTCCTCAAAATTCCTCAGAATGAGCCCGAATTCTTTCTACTAATCGCAAGATGCAAAACAGAGTTTGAGAGATTTGCAGCCAGCAGAACCGTCCAGGAATGTCACAGCGTGCACTAGCATAATCAGGGCATCGAGGCCCGGCAAGTGTTGCAAGAATGGCAAGTCATTCGGTCCATGCACAAGGGTGCTGGCCTCGCGGAACACTGGCATCATGACGCCCATTGGGGCTTGGTGGATAGTCGTCGAAGCACTCCCTCAGAGAGGCCAAAAAACTGAACGGAGCAGGTTTGACTCGAGGTTGGCTTATCAGGCCAAACTGGCTACTGCCTACAAGCAGTGCGAAAGGGCAGACTGTCAAAACAGAAGGAAGACCATGAAGAACCTCTGAGAACGGCGCGCGTCGACGCTTTCGAAATCCTGCCGGCCCATTGCAATTACAACACAGACCAACAGAACAGAGGCAGAAGCCCGAAGATGCTAAGATGCCTAAACATGGCCTAAGATGCCAAAAGATGCAAAAAGAGCTCAAGGTCCTGGCCATTGCGTAGATCCAGGTAAGTGCAAATACCCAGGGTGTCACGGATCAGTGACAAATCTGTCGGAGTGGCGGTGACCCAATGGCCTGCACATTCGTCGGACAAGAACGATGGTGTGCAAGGCATGTCCAACTTGAACAAGACAAATCTTCCCTCTCCGTTGATGCAGGCTTGTACAAGTACCAATCTGTGTATATACTCACAAGTCATGATCCACGAGTGCGGCAGTACCAGCTGGAAAGCAAGTCCCGGCCAGTGCGGTAGACTTTGCCGCGGGCAATTCGGCCACCCTGAGCGGTGCTCCAAGTTCAGATGCTTAAAAGAGGGCTCTATGCAGAGTATGCATCTGCGAAAACCTTCGATTTACCCACCTTCATTTCACGCACAACACCAGGCAGGTTAACATGGAATTCTCGAAGCGCGAAGGCTTGGCCTTGCAACGATAAGGCGTAGAAGCATCCTTGGATTCCCACACTGCAGAGAGGCTATGGCAATGCTTCATATTGTCACAAATTGGGCTCAGAAAAATCTTGCAAAATGGAATTTCAGCACTTTCCTCCCTCTCGTTGCTGCAGACAGGCTTCGGGCCCGGCCAGGTCTCGGAAGTTGGCAACCCGATCGAGTCCCCAAAGGCTCAGCCACCCGTCTGGGCGGTCCGTCTGACAAGGAGCTCCAGGCATTTTGTACAACAAAGGACTAGCACAGATTTCCCGGCTGATAAGTTCAGAGGGGAAGGAGGCATGCTTTCGGCCCAGCTTGCGAGGCCGTGCCTTTGTCGCGCAGGTGCTTGCGGAGAGGTTGGTCGCCTCGCAGAGAAAGTCTGCAAGAACGAAACTTGGGCCGTTGATTCATCACCCAGTTCCATGAATACACTGTAGGTCATCATCATCATCATCATCATCATCATCGCCTGGCGCTCAAAGCACGGGATGTCCGCTTCTGCAGACGGTGGGCGGTCCTCGGTGCGGCTACACTTGGACAAAATCCAGAGTTGAAAACGCAGCTTAGGAAACATGGGTGGACGCTGAACTTCGCATGAGCTCCAGCAACCACCTTCTCCTGCCGGGCGTCGCTCTGCTTTAGCGCGGCCGTCATTGGGAGCGTCCGAGAGGTACAAGCGTGGGAATTCTTGACTATCCAAGATTTGCGCAAATCTTTCCATGCATGTGCATGAAACACTCTGCTTAATTTGTCTTGCTGGGGGGCAGCTTGGGTCCAACGCTTCAGCACGTGTAAACTTGGCCATTCAATGTCTTGATGCTGTGAATCAAGATGCCCAGCCCAATACTGCCCGTGAAGGCTTCGAGGCCACAAGATGGCGTGGCCTTACGCATGCAACTTCTCGAACCTCATCCAATGCTGAGCCCGAGAGCCAAGAAAAGCACAGTCAGCATTTAGCAGTGTCCAAGCGTGACACATGTGATTTACAAGAGTGTCATAGGCGTTCGTATAACAAAACTGGCAAGTATTCAGTTTTGGCTTTGGGGTGGGCTTGGGGCTTAGGGGCAGAAATGTCTCGAGTTGGACGGGATGTCCTTTCTCAAACAATGGCCCACCAATACGTCCACGGAACCATACGCAGTAGATGCGGAACCATGCAAGATGAGAATTTGAAGCCCTTCACATTCACAGCTTCTGGAGTTGCAATTTGGTCTAGGGGTGACCTCGCGCTTCCATACCAGCTGCAAGGTCTGGGAACGTGTGCTGGTCCACGCCTCATGGAACCAAATCTGCGGTAACTGGGTAGCGCACGATGTGGCTGTGTTGCAACGATCCCAACTCTTCGAAGCTAGAACCGAACAGGCAAAAGGGCTGGGTAATTCCTACGTGCTGACAGCTCTTATAGGCTGGGTGTGTCATTTTTCAAAATCAGCTGCCAACAATGTATACTGAGATAATGCAAGCGTAGGGAGCCATCTCACAAAGGAAGCACCACGGACGTCATTCAAATGGCTTTGAAGCTTGATTCCACTTTCAGAACTTTCGCCTGTTCGGCATTGGGTATCGCGAGGAACTTCCCATGTGTCATCGTTGTCCAGGGAAAGTGTATCTGCATCACTGGTAGTTACATGTAGAGGAGCTGCATGTCGAGAAGGGTGTTGATTTGAGAACATGAGCACCAATCATATGATTGCATGATGAATGCCACCTGCAAGATCATCAGCCCTGCACCCCCCCATGATACCATCGAAGTCCCGTGGATGAGCACCTCGGTATCACGTAGCCCGCCCCTGGAAATTTTGGGCACATCTAGGGGGCCCAAGATATCCCACATCATTGCTAGTTGAATTCAAAGCACTCAGCTTGAGTTGGGTTCTTGCAAAGGCCAAAGCATATCTTCAAGCATCCCGCAACACGACAAAGTGGCATGTCCGAAGCTACCCCAATGTCCTGTCAGAAGTGTCCGTGCACAAGCACGCGCCTTTTCGATCCAAGCAATCCACGGTTATCGTGCTGTAGGAAGCTGGTTGGTATGTGCTACCACAAACGAAGCCAGCTCTTGAGAGCCCGCCATGTCATGCGAAGATTCGCCACGCCTGAGCTAGCTATCGCACAGCAGCAGTGAGCATTGAAAACACAATCGCGATTAGTTTTGCACCATAGGACCTGATAGCAGTTTCATCGTAGGGTGGGTCTGGATAATGGGTCTACTTCAAACCCAGATACATGCAAGAATGAGTGGCGGTTTGATTTAGGCTGCTTCAAAATTTAGTCGAACCGAGCTGTCGCTAGGTAGGCTTCCCATCCAGGCAGTCATCTTCATCGCTATCGCATGTTCATGCTTGTTTTGGCGCAGGTCATAGCCAATCTGATCCAAGCATGTGGGCAGATCTACACCCACAGCGACATCATCTGTCTTCACGTGCCGCTCTTGCGCGAGGCGAGAGGAAGAAGATCATGGGTGCGGAAACAACTGCCAAGATGAAGCGGGGCGTGATCTTAGGTTAATGTCGAAGATCTTCCGTCTTTGTCCTCTCATGTAGCCCCTACGGCACGCGAATAGAAATTCAACAGCCGACTGGAAGGCCAGGACGCAAACTGTCACATCAGGCACAGCCTGAATCCTAGCCGGAACTGGTACCACAAGTGACATTCAAGCACCCATATTCAACACAACGGCTTTCATGGCGTGCAGGTCGTGACAACTGCTTCTACGAGGAGTTGAAACGACTATTGCTTGGAATGGGTTGCTCAAGCGACTGTGGCTGGCCGTTTTTAACCTGCAACATCAGACTCCTTAATGCGGGAGGAATAACAGGGAAAACCAGTGGGAGGCCATTAAATCAGCATCATGGCAATACCAGTGAAACTGTAGCAGTGCACCCATATGTTGGGAACCAGTAAGTTTCCTCTAATTCAGAAAACGTGCCTCCACTGGTACGAGTAACTCTCTTGAGCAGTAGTGGTAGTCGGCATAAGGCTCAGACAATAGAGGTCTACCACGTTTCCAGCATTCGGCATGCCTTCCCTGCCAAATGCAATCGTGAGATTCAGATTCCAAGTAGATGGCTCTTCCTTAGCAACGCATAGCAAAGCATGGGATGAAGGATAAATCCAACAAAAAAAAGAAGAACAGCACCCGACGCTCCAGCAGTTTCTCTAACAATGATCAATATTGACTGGAACGTTGAAACTTCCGGAAACGTTTCAAGAAGTATAGTAGTAATGAGGGACAGACTGGGATATGGGGATGATTATCGTGCAGGGTGGGACGACGCAAGGACTTCGCACGCGTTTGCATTCAGCCGTCGGCCCAGATATTCAGTGCGACCGCGAGCACTACGGCTTTTATCCTGGGGCTATGAAAAGATGTTGTATGCGTTCTGCTGGGGTCTTTTGCGGATCATCATAGCATATTATGAAAAAGTTTGATGGGGATCATGCTGCTGTTGTAGTGGCTTTCATCGAATTAAGAACATTAAGAACATTTGTTCGACTTTGGGGGTTTCTGAGAGAACGCTTGCCGCTTGTTAATCAAATTGCACCGGCCAGCAACGGAAACAAGGGTTCCGTATATGCAGCAAGACATTTGAGCTTTCTACTGCTGCAATAGTGAGTTAGTTTCCACACATGATTGAAGGCAGCCAATAAAGACTGAGATTTTGAACAATCCTCACTTCGCATAGCTGAGAACTGTCTGGACCCTTGTTTCGAGGGGCTCTTGCCGACAAAAGCCGTCAAGGTGGAACCTCGTGTTGGGGATTGTTTCCACTTTGGGTACCCTGGAAGAGGCAATCACTTCTAAGCTCTAGGAATCTGACACGACGAGCCATCCCAAAGACACCCAAATGTGGAACAACCCAATTAATTAATGCCGCTTTACGCGGACTTCCAAGACATGCTGCACCGCAAAAGGCCTCGAAGTGACGCGACTTCTTTCGCTCTGCCCTAGAAGCCCTAACTCGAGGGCCGGGGCAAAGCAGTCGGCAACCTGAATGAAATCAAAAGGGCACACTTCCTTTTTCTGTCTTTTGGAAAGGAGGCTTTTCTGCGAATTCAAGGCCCTTTGGGTCAAAACCCGCGAGCGCACACCAGCCAGGATCCGAGGAAATCAACAAGACACCGTCAGTCCGAGGGATCCGCATCGGAATAACGCCTGGACACAACTGGTACAGTCTGCTACAACACCTTTTCATTTGGATTCGGATGTAGGCCGGCTTGACTTCAGAAACCAACCATGCACAGCCGGGCGCCCCAAACAACGCTTCATTGAAGATTCGCAGGTTTTCCACCCTGAATGTTAAGCCCTGTCTGCGCTGCCGCCTGGTATTCTGCACGTTGCAGCCTACTGCGCTCACGCCATTCTCGCAATTCGTAATTGCTGGCCTTTCAGCTGCGCTGCTCAGCTGCCTCCTCCTCCTCTTCCTCAGTCCATTTTTCCACCGCCCCACAGACCTCTACCTGCAATCCAAATCCTGAATTCTGAAACTGAAATCCAGAACCTCAAATTCGGGCCGGAAGCGAAGCGATCTCTTTCAGATCTCCACGCCAGCAGTTCGTCCAAGGGGCCGACCTCGGCTGAAGGGCGCGGATGAAGATTTACAATGCAACAAAACCAGAAACCCCTTCGTAATAATACTTCAAATTCATGCTCATCCCAAGTTGGGGCCGTACAGAAGGGTTTAAGGTCCATTTGGTGTTTTCACGCGTGCTTACCTGCAATAATCGTTTTGCATGCTTTGATATATCCTTCACGCTTTTGGTGAAAATATTCATCGGATCGCGCACTGGAATTGCTGGTCTCACAGGCTGTATATGGGGTTATACGCGGGTGTTGGAGACATTCTGGAAATTATATGAGAACAGCCTTTGGACGTTCTAACCCAAAGCCCTCCACCTAAACCCTCGACAACAAGGGCCTACTGATTAGCAACCATGGAACCTCTTCATACTCATGCTAAGCTTCAGAAAGGGATGATCCCGTGAAAAACTTAAGGTCCCTC